AAACGATCCAACCATCCACGCGATTCTCATCGGAATCCTTTGCTCATTCTGTCATCGTCACTATCGCCGTCGTCAGTAGCCATCATCACTATCGCCGCTGTCACGGTAAGCCATTCCCTCATCACATCTCGCAATTTTCAGAAAAGYGGTTTTGATTTTGAATGGYGTTTCTTGGGTTTTCGTTTTGCGAGATGATAGGGTTTCGATTTGTACTACGAATTTGATATGAATGTACCGGGAATTGATAGCATTTGGAGTCAATTTTGAAATTAGGGTTTGAAGTAAAATTAATTTGGGGTTTTGATTTGTAATGGGTTTTGGGTTGCGAGATGTTTTGATTTGTACTAGTATTATGATACGAATGGGTTTGGGTAGCGAGATGTGGGCTTTTGATTTTGATATCGGGTTTGAAATTAGGGTTTGAAGAAAAATCAATTTGGGGTTTTAATTTGTAGTAGGATTTTGGTTTCAATTGGAGATGTATGGACTTGTTCTTTTCTTTCTCTGTACTAGGATTTCTAATGTGTTTGCGGTTTTGATATGAATTGGCAATAGACGTATATGGTTTGAAATTAGGACTATTAGGTGTTTTGTGTGTGTTTTGATTTGCTTCTTGTGGATTTTGCAGAAATGCCTCCTAAGACCAAGGGTTTAGGGTCGAAGAAAGGGACTTCAATGGGAGTCACTTCAAAGAAAGGGACTTCAAAGGAATGGACTTCAAAGAAAGACTTCTAGTAGTAGCTTCCAAAGAGTCCAAAAAAGATATGCTGTGAGCGATTCAAGTAATGGGTCAGAATCAGAATCTGAAAATGATCCTACGCCATCACAGGAGATGGGTCAGAATATGGAAATGGGTCAGAACCAGGTATGTAACTTCTTTTGGACAAGTGTAGTTCTGCGTAGGACTAGTAGTACTACTAGCGAGAACTGTGAGTAGTTAGGATGACTGGTATTACTAGGAAGAACTGTAAGTAGTTAGGATGACTGGTACTACTAGGGAGAACTGTGAGTAGTTAGGAGGACTGGTAGTACTAAAGTGCAATGGTTGGATTATGCTTGGATTTTGTTTGGATTGCAAGATTTAGAACCCCAACCGTCGGCACAGGAGACAGAGGAAGAAGAACCCCAACCGGCAGCACCTAAGGTTGAGGATTTCTTCTTGGAACCCTCGGAA